TAGTAACGGTCCACACTAGGATGTTAATGAAGAAGCAGTGGAAATGAGATAGAAGAGATCCTACCACATAAAAATTCAGAATTGCCGTAATAGATAATGCTACAATATTCAAAAGACAAAATATGCAGGTTTCTTACATGGGAAATCTGAATTCTCTTTATTGTTGTATTAATTTGTAACTAATTTCCACATTCATTAATTTCTTCATTAACAAAAAGCTATCAACAAATCACAGAATTCCAGTCTTGATTCCTAAAGTTTGAAATAAATCCCTTGCAAAATAGAACCCTCCTCTTGTGCCTTCCAAGGGCACCAGCACAAAAACCCTTCCAAACAGGTACTTGTCCGTGCTAGCAGTTTCTAAAAAGCTTTTTTTCAAACATGTGGGAGGGGAAAGGTGGTCTGGGTCTGTTTTTGTTTGGAAGAAAAAAAAAAATCATGTTTAGAAAGAAGTGCTATCTGCAAACTGAGAGGAAAAAGAGGAAAACTCATGAGGCAGCAGTGTGCCCTCGTGGCCAAGAAGGCCAATGGGATCCTGGGCTGCATTAAGAAGAGCATCTCCAGCAGGTCGAGGGAGGTGCTCCTGCCCCTCTACTCAGCCCTGGTGAGGCCGCATCTGGAGTATTGTGTCCAGTTCTGGGCTCCACAGTACAAGAGGGATGTGGAGCTGCTGGAGAGAGTCCAGCGCAGGGCTACAAGGATGATCAGGGGCCTGGAACATCTGCCCTATGAGGAGAGGCTGAGGGAGCTGGGCCTGTTCAGCCTGGAGAAGAGAAGGCTGGGAGGGGATCTAATCAGTGTATATAAATACCTCAAGGGAGGGAGTGCAGAGGACGGGGATGGTCTCTTTTCAGTGGTGGCCACTGATAGGACTAGAGGAAATGGCCAGAAACTGAAACATCAAAAATTCTATAGGAACTTAAGGAAAAATTTCTTAACAGTGAGGGTGACAGAGCACTGGAACAGGCTGCCCAGAGAGGTTGTGGAGTCTCCTTCTCTGGAGATCTTCAAAACCCGCTTGGATGCAGTCCTGTGCCACGTGCTCTAGGTGTCCCTGCGTATGCAGGGGGGTTGGACTAGATGATCTCTAGAGGTCCCTTCCAACCCTAAGCATTCTATGATTCCATGATTCTATGATTCTATGATTTCTTTACTTCTCTTGGATTTTCACAAAGACAGTGTCTACACTTATGGCTTTAATCAATTAAAAAAATAAAGCTATAAGCAACAAACTTTTAGATGAAAGCATACAGATCCTGGAGTAACACTCATTTTCTAACTGCAAGCCACTCTGGCCAGAGTAATTATTGTTGTGGGCAGCTTCTCTGGTCTTACAGGTTGCTGTGCTCCTCAAACCTAAGTGACAGTGTGAGAGGACCAAAGCCAGTGGGTAAAATACAGTGATTTTGCAGGGCAAGAAGTACATCAGCACCAGAATTAAAAGCTTTATGCTTTAGCAGATGAAGAAAGCTATGAGAGGAGGTTTGTAAAGGAAAAGTAAATTGACAAAAGAAAACACAGGAAGAAGCAAAATAAAAAGAGCAACTGAGAAAAACAAAAAAGGTTTAAGAGACGATCTGCACAGCTTCAGGTGTATATTACTCTAAACACTGTATACATGTGAGTCATACCCCACATCTCTAGGGACTATTCAGATGAATCATTCATCCAGCCTGCATTCACTTACCATTCTAGGCAAGCAAGCAACCAGTGATCTGCAGTCTCATTTAATCAACTGTTAGGCTGTTCACAATTTGAAACTACATACCTTTAAAGGTTAGTAATGGAATAGGGAATAAAAAAAAACAGAGTTTAAAAATAAAAGAAAAGAGTTAAGTTTACTTTTCTGTAGTAAGTTCTTGACTTCAGTGATCACCATGCGGTATTAGAGTAGCATACTCTAACACTTCTTTTTTATCATCAAGTTTACATTTTCTTTCCCCACATATGGGAGCTGAAATGTGGCAAATTAATACTGAGTAGAGTTTATATGTAATATTTTGCCTAAAACCAAGGAGAGGGGCCCAGCTAGGCAGTGTCAAAGTAGTAGCTCTTAATCTTATTTTTACTAAGTTACAGAACATGACTGCACTAAGCAATTTAATACTTATTATCCTACATCCACAAGTAAATTTATCTACTCAGCTCAAGGACCTGCCCATCCCAAGTTCCCACAATCACTTTCCACAACTAACACAAAAAGCCTGCTCAATCTTTCCTCATCTTCAGGAATATAATTTGGCACACAGGGCAAGCGGTTCCTGTTTTCCATAAAGAAATTGTAACTTAAGTAGAACTTTCCTCTTCCTGTTTTACCACTGCATGTTGACAGCTATACTAAAGTCTTTCAAGTTGAAAAGTACTCTTAATTTGTGTAAAGAAATTTGCCAAAGACTATATTTTCTACCTGCTCCTCTTCCTGGAGGTAATTTTTTCAGTATTAAGAAAAACACAGATGGCAAGTATCTCCATCTTGCTAAGAATAGCTTTTGACAGGACATTGTAAGCACATAAGAATTTTTCTTTTGACTAAGAAACAAACATACTGTAGAGCCAGTAAAGTGCCTATTTGTTCATTTTTAAAGACTGAAGAAAACAGGAAACACAATTTTTGGCTATAAAAATACCATTATTAAAGGCACATTTTCACAATAAAGACCACTCATGGAACCATTTCACAGGCAACTGAGATCATTTAAATAGCTGTTTGCCTGAAAAGGCAGCATTTGCTCTCAGTTGCTAACTTTTAAGACTCCTCTCTTTCTATAAACAATTTCAAAGAAAAATTTTGAGTTTGCCTCTAGCTTTCCAGATTACACATCCATCCTCTTTTAACAATGACTCTCAGAGTTAACACTTAAAAGTCCTCGACTCAGTAAACTTATGTAGCATCAATGACTCACTACTAGCAATTGATGTTTTCCTTTAATTCTGCATATCTCTCCACTTGACCAAATGGCAATCTCACAGTGAAAAATTTTCTGCCAAAAGGAGTCTGTCACACCCTTAATACCAGAACCAGTCTCCTACTTTTCAGCATATAGTCCTAAGTGGGTCATATAGTCCTAAGTGCATGCATACTTTGAAACATCAGTATGAACCAACCCTGGAAGTAAAAACACAACATAGATGACATGAACAGTTTTGGAAGATGTTTTGTCAGCAATGATCTTGCACCAAAATCCCCTCAGGAATCCCCACAAGAGTCCCATTTGACAAGATCTTGGTGCTGTTTAGCTTAGTAAATTTAGTGCTATTTTGTTAACAACTGCAACACACTTGGTTGCTCAACATACACTCTTACAATTCTTTCAGAATACCCATACCTTCTATTCCAGCAGACATTTTAAATGACATATGAAAGTGACTGAAAGACACAAACTATGGTTTGTGACACCTAGCAATACAAACATAGCAGCACCTAGCCAAAAAAAGCTACTCGACAGTCTTCTAGCTTGACTATTATTTTATGCTACTGTAGTGCGGCCACTTTTGTTTAGCCAAAGCTTATTTTGTTTAAGTACGGTTGGTTTGTTGAGACTCTCTTGTTTTGCAAATACTATGTAAAAACAAACAAAAACCCCAAACACAACAAACCAACCCCCAAAAAGACAACCAAAAAAAAAAAAAAAAAAACCCATGACACTACCATGCCACCTTAAAAATTTGTTAAAAAGCAGTTCCTACTGGTCAATACAGCCTTTAAAATTGTCATTTTGTTTGAAGATCAGTAAAATAATCAGAAAATAGGCTAATGTAGGTAAGGTTGATAACCACTAAAGTTTTCAACAAAACAAATGAGTCAATACACATTTTCCTCTGATTATACATCCTGTGTTCAAATCCTAGAAGGAATTTTGCACTTTATTTCAATGTACATAGTATTAAGAATCTGTTAAAACTGAGATGATCAGTACAAAGTGACAGGGCATTAAAATATATATATATATAATGACATACCAGCTAATGCTTTGGAGATAAGATATGAGAACTGTATTAATTAACTGCAAGTCTGAAGGTTAAAAAAGGCCAGCTGTAAGGACAGAATGCTTAAGGTTGGAAGGGACCTCTAGAGGTCATCTCATCCAACTCCACCGCACACGCAGAGTCACTTAGAGCACGTGGCACAGGGTGGCATCCAGGCAAGTTTTGAAGATCTCCAGAGAAGGAGACTCCACAGCCTCTCTGGGCAGCCTCAGCCTGTTCCAGGGCTCTGTCACCCTCACTGTTAAGAAAGTTTTCCTTAAGTTCCTGTGGAATTTTTGGTGCTTCAGTTTGTGGCCAGTTCAGTTTCCTCTTTCCTATCAGTGGCCACCACTGAAAAGAGGCCCATCCTCCTTGAGATGTTTATTTACACTGATCAGGTCCCCTCTCAGCCTTCTCTTCTCCAGGCTGAACAGGCCCAGCTCCCTCAGCCTCTCCTCATAGGGCAGATGTTCCAGGCCCCTGATCATCCTTGTGGCCCTGCGCTGGACTCTCTCCAGAAGCTCCACATCCCTCTTGTACTGTGGAGCCCAGAACTGGACACAATACTCCAGATGTGGCCTCACCAGGGCTGAGTAGAGGGGCAGGATCACCTCCCTCGACCTGCTAGAGATGCTCTTCTTAATGCACCCCAGGATCCCATTGGCCTTCTTGGCCACGAGGGCACACTGCTGCCTCATGGTCAACTTGTCATCCACCATTTGCTGTCCACCAATCATTATAAGTCTCTTACAACTTAAACTGCAGGAGCTAAAGAACTTTGAAATTAAAAGTAGGATACTAGTAGCATTACACAAACTTAAGAGATTGCCAATAAATTAGCCTAACTCCTTGACAGATGCAGCAAATGAATGTGTAAATATGCAAATATTCACAGTTTTCCACCTGTGTTATAGAAATGCACAAGCTGACATTGGGAACAGTTCAGGCAAGCTTCAACAACAGAGTCCCACAAAAGAGACAGAGCTTTTCATTTCTAAAATAAACTACATTTAAATATCTATATATGATATTACCTTCATAGCATGGATTTCTTCTATCAGTCTCTCAGCTCTTTTTTGGTTCTTCAATATTAAGTCTTCTGAGCCCCTGTAAACAAAATCTGTTTATTAAAAAGCCTTTGTTGACATGGTTTTCCTATGTGGTAATATCAAGTAAAACACAAAAACAGAGGAGTGTTACAAGCAATATTTTAAGAGTGAACATCACCTTATGCTTTTCCTGTTGAAAATTCTGCTGATAAAAGACACTAACCTCAGATATTACTAAATTCTAAAATCTGTATTTTCAAAACATACAAGATAATTGGACCTGTTTCTTGTTTACACAATTGAATAAAATTGGGTGGGTGTGTGTGTTCGCGGGGGAGAGTGGGCAGGCAGGCAGCATACTCATTTACGCTTCAAACACAGTAACAAGATTCCCCTTTTGTTGTATCCAGTGGCAAGTTTCCAGATCACTTTGGGACAGTTAGCTTTAAAAATAGATTCTACAAAATTTTGATTTAAAAAACACTTATTGAAAGGAAAAGAAGTACAAATTGTGTATCTATGCAAACAAAAAAGTTTTTGCTGTAGAATCTTTCAGCCTACTAGAGAGAGGAAAGATTTGTATGACTTACTTTCAACAGTACAATGACCCAAAAGCTCAAGCTCCACACTTTTAAAAGTGCTGTAAAAAGGTTTTGCAACTGATTGGAATTAAGTCTGAAGACATTAAATAGTTTGGGTGAAGTGAGTGTGTGGGGGAAGGTTATCCCAGTTCTGCTTTACAAAACCACTTATTTGTTAGCATTTTTATTGCATCTAAAATACAATAAAAACAGACAGACATCATGTATTACAGTACCTAAAATACAGGGAGAGGACCAAATCTGATTCAAATAATTCTGCATTCTTTGCAAACATATTTTATGTTTATGTAGACCTGTAGTTTATATCACATTTATATATTATATGTATATATTTTTTTTTTTACAAGGCAGGCTATAGCTTTAGAAATCTTGATCTATTTCATATTTTGGTTTTTCAATTAAACATGCACATATTCAAATTTGTTCTTCAATAGAAAAGTGGTTAGTCTGTCCATTTCTTTGTTGTTTCCAGAAGATATTTATTATAGTGTTAAAAACATGAAGAATACCAATATTAAAAACTGACTTTTTCAACTTTAATTTCCCAATGTGTCTGGTTAGTCGGCGAATAGTAAGCACCCTGACCTTCTTCACATCTTTTCTCATCTTCACAACCTGTCAAAAGAGGGAAAACATCATGAAACTTGGTTTTCTTATTTGTTTTCATGTACATCTGTTACACTGACACTGATTTTGTAAATCAGCTCAACCACAACAACAAAAAATGCTGAAAATAGAGTTCGTTCCCCTGTTAACACATATCTTAGTTAAACAGAACTCATATTTCATTCAAAAATCATGCTGTTTCCATAAACATCAGAGGAAGAACAACCAGTAGTCTAAAAATGTGTCTGAGGTCGACACACGAGACAAGACATTCCTGACTACTTTAATACGTTTCTTTAATATTATTCTTAGAACTACACTGGACTAAAGATTTGAAGAGACTCACCTTTCACCTTCACTTAAAAATGGACCAGTATTTTTCCATTACTGTAACATATTGCATTGAAAATATTTTAATTATGAAACACCTAATACGTATGGGAAGACCCCCCCAAAATAAACATTATTTAATTATATAAGTAGATATTCACTTCTCAGATTCTGTGTGCCTGACTTCGCTTTTGTTTTTGACAAAAAAGATTTCCTCCTCACAACATTTATTTTCACTGTCTACTTTCGGTCCTCTGCTCCACCCAAAATATATTTCAAAATTCAGTGTTAAAAAAAAAACTTGATAATGATAATTTGGTTTTATTTCTCTCCCACAATAATAAAAATTAATAAACGGCAGGACTTTATTATACATCAGATTTCTATCATATCTAATTATTTAGACATACCATCAAAACAATTGCATCTATGCCCAAGCATTAACACTGTTTGTTAATGCAGTTTCACCAGGAGTATCAGCATCTCCAGTCTCCAACAAGCTTGGCAGAAGGCACAGCTTTAATCAGAGCTCATGGAGGGAAATTTCTATTTTTGGTGAATTCTCTAATTTTTACTTCTGGGGCATACTCAAATACCAGCAAGACTATTTTCATTGATCCCATGAACTGTCACCAAAAAGATGAGAAAGTAACACTTACTAAGAAAAAAGAAAAAAACAAAAACAAAAACAAACAAAAACCCCCCCAAAACAAAAAAAAAGATAAAAATGATAAAAAGAAAAAAGATAAAAAGATTTTTATTTTTTTTTAAAGAAAAAATTAAAAAATAATAATAATAAAAAAATAAAAAGTAGTTCACCTACTTACAGCCAGCCTATAGCCTGGATACCTCCACAACTAACTATTTAAGCCCTGAGCGGTGCTGAGCACTGCTGAATCAGGGAGCTAAACAATTTCTAGAGGCAGGTGAAGGCCTGTTGGTGAAGGATTTTGAGCTGCCAAGCCTCCTGGTATGTCCAACCAAAGAAGGGAGCCTGCCTAGCACTGCAACTGCTACAAGTAGAGAAGGGGCTGGAAGTATTGGCACCTATAGAGAGAAAGGGGGAAAAGTAGGAAGATTTGGAGCAAAACCAGTCAATACTGAGAAGTGGTGTCTTGTTTAAGTCTGAGCAGCAAGAGTCAATACTTCAACCCAAAAAAAAAAAAAAAAAAACAATTTTGCTTATTAGATGGACTCACAAGCATTTTCTTTCCAGTTAACAACATACAACACAGGTCTGTGCTTATTGCCATGTCTGCGCGAGACCTGCCTTATTTAAGCCTCACAAGTTTATTACACACATGCTTTTTCCAGGGCGCACACGGAAGTCTGACAGCACATGTTGGATAGAGCTGCACAAACCCAACCATGCCAGCACTGCCCACTGTGGAACTTCGGACATGAAAACTATTTAAATAAGTGGATATTTTTAGAAAGAATAGCTAGAAGAGTGGATGAAAA